TTTATATATATTATATACACTCAAACAAGTCAAGATTTTTCAGAGTAGAAGAATAAAGTCAACTGTTATAGCTTAGAAAGCAACACTACTTTACTATTTTTGAGACTAGAAAACACTGAACTATTTTAAGAAAACCAGAGAGTGGAAAATGGTGCCATTTCCCCCCAAAAGTGGCTCAAAGCACAAACTGCTCAGATTCACTGAGCTAGGGGTTCGGACTGTACAGCGTGGAGGGGGAGGGATGACCAGCCGTCATTTTATGCGCAGGCTGACGAGCTGATCAGGTCTGATGACGTGAAGCGCTGCTCAGACTTGTACATTCGAGTAAGGCTGCATTATAAAACTTCACTGGACGCTACTTACAAGTCTTCTTGTGAAGGCCAGGCCTTGTACCACTGACTAGAACTCATTCTGCTGATTTTGAAGAGTGGGAAGAAAATGCTCTTGGTAACTTCGATTCCCCTCCAGCAAAAACTAGATCCTGAGGGAGTTGCTGGAACAGAACTGGTCCTTCTAAAAGAAGCTGACGGGCCCTTGGGAATTCTATTAAGTGGCAGAATTGCTTCAAGGGTACAGACTCCAGACCTCAAGTCCTGGTAGACAACAGGATGGGAGCCCATCCTGAGTCTTCACTTGAAGAGTCACGTCGTTTAGTTCACAAACACAAAAAAAGAACTTCTGTCAGTAAACAGTCAGAAATGTACTTTCACCGCTGCTGCGTCTCTCAAAAGAAGGAAAAAAAAAAATCACCACAACACACCATCCAAAAAAAAACAACCACCAAGCAACAACAAAGCAGAAGAAGCTCATCATCATCAAGAAAATACTTGCTGATGAGATAAATAGTCCTTTCAGGTGTAATCAACCTGCGTGCTTCTCTAGCTAGCAGTACACTATCAGTGGACTTACTTTTATCTTGTCCACATTAAGCTTGAATATGGGCCTAATCATCAACTATTAAAACTAAATAGAACATTCCAACAGAAAGCTACTTTTCTACCATCCTTATTCAGAATTCAAAGGCTACAGATGCAGCTTTCTAGGAGCCTTTTAAAAGAAATTGAAGGAGATTACATCTGTAGAAAAGACCGGCTGGATCAGCCGCATGAAGAACATATTAAATATCACCCCAAGTAGAACACGCTCCTGCCCATAACCAGTGAATGCAATGAATTATGCATTCACTGCATTCATTTGCATGCATGCAAAATTTGCTACTTATTCGTAACTTGTACTTTACTTTGAATTGCATGCTACCTGCTAGCTCTCCCTTCCCTTCCCCTTTCCTGAGAGATGCAGTGTAGTAGTCATCAACATCATCATCATCATCATCATCATCATCATCAATAGCCATCAGCATCAAGTGGGGAAACGATTTTTGTTCACAAGCAAGAAGAAAAGGTAAAGAAATAAGTGACTATTATGCCAGAGCTTGGGTTCTAACGAT